CTAGCAGAGATTTCGAATGTTGAATAACAAAATTTATTTTAATTTTTCTATAATAAATGGATTAATTTATTTGTTTTATTTTTCAGGTGCAAAATATTATATTCAATATGCTAAAGAACAATTTTTACTACGTTGGTCAACATTAAGTCGTTTAAGTGAATATGGTCGTAAAACAACAATTCAATTAATTCAACCTTATTATGAACTTGATCAATTTCTTATATTTATTGAAAAAAATTTACCATTATTAAAATCTCTTGAAAATCGTTATTTAACAAATAATAAAAATGATACAACAATACGATATTTATTTCTTGCACGTATACATTATAATTTATTATCACAATGGCAATTATCAGATGTTATACGTAGTTCAATACAAACATGGGATGATATTGTTACAAATCGATCATTATTTTTAGATGTATATATCAAAAATTTAATATTTTTTTAAAAAATATTGATTAGAAGATTTCTACATGTTTGAAATATATGAAGAATTATAATACACTATGACGTATTGCATATAGGAAGCTGCAAGTTCGAATTCACAAAAAACATGGACCTGTAGCCTCGGAGTTGCATTACGATGAAAATCAATTGAGTTTTTTTTTTATTTAAAAAGAAAAGATGCCCTAGAGAAAGTACTGAGTTCAGGGTACCCATATACTGAGAAAGCCTCAGCAGGGTACCCGATATGGATACTTCGAAAATTTTCAGTAATTATACTGGCGTAGGTACTGCATTGGGTACCTATTACAGTATGTTTACTGAACAAGTACTTGCATGAGTACCCACACCTGTAATTTCACTAGAAAAAGCTCTACAGGGTACCCTAGATTTGTTGCGTTCTGTGTAGCAACTGTTCATTCACCGTTTTCTTTTGCATATACGGCTTCATATAAGCAACTCGAGGAAGCATAAGAAAAAAATATTTTTTCATACTAATTTTTTCTAGATTATTTTTCTTGATTATTTACTAGTCGAGGACATGCTGATCTCAATCGTAGATTGAGGGAGGACTACCTTGAAGTGGTCTGATGGAGATCCGACCAATTCGCGTCCGGTCAGATCTCGAAATTTGACCTGCTTGACTTTTCAGAGTTGGAAAAATTAAATTAAATAAAATCGAAAAAATATCATAAATTGCT